CTTGGGCAAGATCACAGGGCTAGGTGTACAGCTGGGATTCTAACCTAGCCCGTCTGGCACCAGAGCGCATGGTCTTAACCGCTCTTCAACGCTGCCTCAAGCTGGGTGGTGTAGACATTACCCTCTGCGGAAGCCCACAGAGGGGACAAGGGCCTGGGGGGAAGCTATAGCACCTGCTGAGTTTGAAGCGATGGGCCACCCCTGCCCAGGCCTCCGTGGGACAGCTCCCCAGGCGAGCCTATGTGGGCTGTGCCCTCTAACTTCAAGGCCTCCCCCTTGTTCACATGCCCTCAGCTCCATCTTCAGGACCTAAGAGTCTGAGGCAAGACAAGGCTGAAGGGAGGGACCCAGGACAGGGACACCGCACCAGGGAGTGGAGGCTCAGTGGGAAGAATGGGCGGGCAGGCCGGGTCCCACTCCTCTTCTCCCTGCCTGTGTTGACCGCTACACAAGCCTTCCAGGGGAGGGGGCGGCTGCTCAGGCAGGGGAGCAGGGCTCTTCTGTTCTAGGCCTTGGAGAGGGGACAGAAAAGAAGCGTGAGGTTGCCTGGCCCAGCTCACCAGGCAGGAGAGGACCAGGAGCAGGTGCTCAGGGTTGGTCAGAATAACCGGTGGCACATGCCTGCTGCCCTCTTAGAACCCAGCTCTGGGCCGACAACCCAGGAGTCCTGAAGAGCTCACCTGGGCTTCCAGGCGCTCCCCCCGCCTTGACTTCTGTGACCAGAGGCACTGCTCCTCCAGCTGGCGTGGGTTCCAATCCTCCTTCACATTGATTTAACTGGTTTTTATTTTTTAAGTGTAAACTGAATCTTTCCCCTGAAGATTCTCAGGGACTAAGGCTGAAAGAGGAGTTACAGTTCAAACTTCCTCCCCATTTTCAACAAGTAAAGCCCACCCTTTAGACATAGTCCCACTCAGAATCAGTTTGTGTCAACCTGGCGTTCAGCCCCCTTGGCTGTCTGGACTCTCCCTACAGTGGGAGTGAATGCGGGTGTTGACACTTGCTGACCTGAAGGGTCTAGTCACCATGGGGTTAAGTCCTCTCTAGAGACACCGCTAAAGCATTTACGCACATGCTCCTCAGGACCCTCGGAGCATCTGTTACTCCCTGCAGAAGACTGAGAGCAGAGGAACTCAAGTTGAAGGTTTAAGCACATCTTTCCTACTGAACAATCATCAGTAATGAAAAAAGAGCCTCTGAGAAACTAACAGGAGTCATTTGAAAAACTTACGATACCATTAAAACAATCTGTAAAATAATTTCCTCAAACATATTGCAAGAAGTGAGCTCTGCTTTCAGGGTGAATGTGGATGGGCAGTGGGAGAGAAAACAGCATCCCTGGGCCATATTTTCACAGCGAGATCTTCTGCGAGGTCTCTTCCACATTTTACCTCATTTACTCTCCTGAAGAGCCCTGCAAGGTTTATTATTTCCCCATTTTACAGATTGAGAAACTCAGGGGAAACCTAGTTCTGAGCTATTTTGTCCCATCTGCTGGATATAATTCTGGAAAAATAGCTTATTCCCAGCTAGCACAGTGAAGTCTCTCTCTGGCAATTCAGCTCCCCTGGCAATTTGGAATAGAAGCAAAGCTGCCCATGGAATGATCTTCTACTTTAAAAAAAGATCCTGCTTTTGTTAGAGTTTCGTTGGTATCTATCCTAAGCTCATAAAGAGAGTAAGTGCCCTAGAAGCACAGGTCAGGCCTGCAAGCACAGACCACAGCACCAACACCTGTTAGCTAGCTGGGCTGAGCTGACTCCAGGTACTGAAGGATAATAAAACTCACCTGCAAGCAGCAGACACCCTCAGACTAACTTTCCACTCACTCGGGTGGGTCCTAAAGTGGTCCAGATTAATGAGGTTTTGCTGTGCTTTGCCTCTCTGATGTAAAACAAAGTTGCTAAGTTAATACCACAGAGTGAGAGAGCAGGCAGGGGCCTTGGAAATCGCTGTTTCAGATGCCAAAAGGTTGCACATGTGCTGCGTCCTCCTTACTGTTCCCCAGCAGGCATCACTAATCCATTGCAGCACACTCTTTCCTGGGTGTGCCTCAGAATCCTCTGCCCAGTGCTTCTGGCAGTCATGACCAGTTGATCAGCGTTGGCAGGAGATGGAATCTATTTGCCAGCCCTGGCCTAGCCCAGTCACCTCATCTGAACAGAGGTGGAACATAAGCTGAGAGAGGCCAAATGATTGACAGAGCCAGGAATTAGGACTTCTTCCCTCTCACCACTTTGCCTTTGAAGCTGCCCTGGGAGATGCTGCCTCATCCCTGTCTCCTTCCCACTGAAGGCAGAAGTGAAGTTGGGGTCATTTGGTAGATGTTAGGGCTATGCTGGGAGAAGGAAACTGGTGTACGATGAGAGTTTTTAGGACCCCATGTACACAGGGGCTATGCTTATGCCACAAACAATACTGGTTTAAACTACAATCCTATAATCCAGCTAGGATCACAGGGTAATGGGACAGGAGAGGCAAAAGGCAGGCCCCCAATAGTCCCAGGTCCACCACTAATGCAAGAAACATGACCCCGGCAAATGTTTCAGGCAAATGCCATTTTTACTTGAAATATGCTTCCCCGGGGTGGTGGATGGTGCCTTCTGCAAAGTGAAGCACTGTTTTGTTTTGAGAATCTGTCTTCCAGCTGAGGAGACAGCCAGACCTCACTGGAGAAGGGATGGGGAACCGACACTGACACAGGCTACAGACTACACCACCCAAGCTCAAGTCTTAAGTGATTTTCCATCTGTACCAAAAGAATCTCTCCCTTGTGCCTGTGATTTTCAAGACCACTTCCATGAGGAAAGGAAGCCCGCACTGGTTTCTCGTTCACTGGGAGAAGGAGAGGTCCTGAGAAGTCAAACCACTCTCCATGAGGCCCCCAGCTAGTAATAAATAGCTGAGCCGCCCTTGCCTTTGGACCAGTGCCGGGACCACCAGAGGGAGAGCAGGACAAATGGAGCTGCCCTTGACCGCCTTCTCTCAGCATCTCTGTTTTAGAGAGTGAGCTTAAGGGGAGCGACTGCTTTCCCCATCCCCTCCCTGCAGCTAAGCCAGGGTTTCTGATTCCCAGCCCAGTGTTCTGTCCTCTCACCCATGCTGCTATTTCCTGTCCCTGAACTTTAACCTTAACCTGGGGTCATGCGTCCCACAACTAGAACGAGAATAAGGGCTCATATTTCTTGGGCACTTACTATGTACTGGCACAGGGCCAAGCAGCTTTGCATGAATTAGTTCACTGACTCTTGACAGCCCCCTTCACCAGTAGGTACTAGCATATGCCCATTTCACAGATGGGGAGACTGAGGCATAGAGAGGTTGGCAACCTGCCTGAGGCCCCACAGCTAGTGGAAGAGGCAGGATTTGAACTGGGAAGTCTGCCTCCAGGGGCCCTGCTCTTAACCACAGACATCACCTCCTGAACTGCCTCCCCACCACTTTCCCTTTGAGTCACTCAACAGTCACTTCCTTCATACCTACTATACGCCAGGTCTTGTGAATCAAGGACACAGCCTCCATCCTCAAAGCCCAACTCATGTCTGAAGACTTGCCAAGGAAGCATGACGGTCACTGTTCAAACTCACTATTCAGCCCTGCCCCCTTCCCCTCCTGCCTATGCACAGCACTCAGGACTGAACGTACAGCCTCCACATGACGACGGTCAAATTCAGTTCTCGTCCAGGCTGTCAGTTTCTTAAAGAAAAACACCATGTCTGGCCTCCCACAGCGCCCTGCCCTTGGTAAACATTTACTGCTGCAGCTGCCCCAGGCCAGGGGAAGAAAACCCGGTTACAAAGCACAGAGGGAGCCCCCGTGCTCATTATTCAGACCTTCAGAGCCTCGCATTTGCAACAGGTGTCTCTCCGGGTGACTTCCCCATCCAGGTCTAGGGTGCGACTCTTCTCACCCTCAGCAGGCCAGGTTTTGGTCACTCGAGGACATGATCCTGCCAAAGGACCTCGGTTCCCTTGGGGAAGCCACACTCACTGTCCTCCCACAGCCTGGGGTTGGGGGACGCTGCCACAGTTCCCCCCTCCACTCCCCATGCCTTTCCTTCTGGTCCGTGTAGTCTGGATCCTGGGCAAGTCTCTTGGTGGCACAACTCACTGGCAACACTGTGCTGGTCCTGCTATGGGAAGCCTCTGATCAGAACCCCCATCAGGTGTGGAGAGTTGTCAGGTGTTTGGGGTCACACCTGTGATGTGTGGCTGTCTGGCATAAGCTCAGGTGTAGCGGCCAGAGGACAACAGGTCTGAGGAGAGACCATCTCATCCAGAAGCTTCCAAACTGCTTCAAGCGGGACCCTCCCACATAAAACACGCAGCTCTGAGACAGGGCGTGTGTGTGTTCACAAACTCTTCTCACTCACTCTCCCTAAACTCTCTTGGCATCTCCTGCTCCTCTGGGATTCTCTGTCATCATGGAACAGTCTGTAAAACACTAACCCGTCAAAAACACTTTCTACTTCAACATTTCCCATCCGTGTTTCTCCAGCCTGTGCTTGAATTCTGCCAGCGACAGGGGACTCACTACTTAAAATGGACATAGGTTTTACCGTTGCCCACCTCTCATTAGGAATTTCTCCTTAGGTTGAATCAATAGCTGCCCACCTTCCGCCAGTGACAGCTGTTTAAAGGCACAAAGGTGACTTCCTCACCTCCATTTACTCATGTCTCCCCAGGGCTATGGTTTATAATCGAGTGTGAGCCAGGTACTTCCCTCTCTATTCCAAGAATCCCTGAAAACAATTCCCAGCATGTGCCCTCTGGATGGTGAGCAGACAGAGGACGGCACAGCCACCTCCAGGCTGGCAGGGACCCAGTGACTTCCAAGGGACTCACCCCTGGATTCTCTGACCTGTGCTGTGTCCACTGCACCTGGAGGGCAACAGTTTCAGAGCCGCAAAACTCAGCTGCCCCTGCCCCACCCTCTCATCTCCTTTCCCTTCTTGAAATCCAACTGAGACCCCGACCTCCGCCAAACACACGGTCACTCACCAGTCCTGTATTGCTTACATCCTGGGAATCTTTTTACAATTTGACTCCAAGAGCAGTCAGTGCGTCAAGACCTACAAGGAAGAGACACTCAGTGTTAAAAGCATAGCAAGGCAATTGGAGGTTCAACTGTCAATTCTAGAAGGTCTGCGGCACTGGGACCCTGGGATGGAGATGGGGAGGACAAAGGAAAAAGGAAATGGTCAGGACCAGCCTGCTCATTAAACTGACCTCAAGAATCTCAGGGCTGTGTGATGGTTCTGAGGGAAAAAAAAAAAAAAAGACCCTCACTTTGGGTGAGTCAGCAGCTTTTTGAGAAGCAGGCCTTTTAGAAGAGCAAAACTAAAAGCAAGATCTGCTGGGTGGGGGTGGGGAGGCGTCTCTCGAACCCCACTCTGAGTTCCCTTGAGTCTTTGGTGTCCGTTCCTAGCAGCCGCGGGGGGTTCGGGATTCCATGTTGGTGACGGTGGAGCGGGGAAGCTCTGCACGCAGGCCTCAGGTCCAAAAGATGCCGCGGTCCTGGAAACAAAAGCCCCTAACGCGCCATTTCTATCCTGGGAGACTCCTGCCAGGCGAACCCCGTGTGCTTTGAAAATTCCTCAGGAGAGCTGTAGCCGGAGGAACAGGCGGGCGCCCGGCTCAGAGGATGCGTTCCCTGAGTGGCAAGTTGAGGCCTGAGCTCTAGAGGTTTCTGCAGCCCAGGAGGCCCACCTGCCGCGCGCACGTGCGCACGGAGCAGCCTGCCGTGGGCTGCAGCTGGGCCACGCGGCCCCTCGCTCCCCACCCCAGCCCGCCTTTCAAGCAAAACTTGTTTTTCTTGTTGCCCTAAGAATTCTGAGGGGAGCAGAGGATTCCTCTATTCGTCTGCCTCTGTTCTCAAAGGAGCACCCGTTGGGGAAGAAAACGTCTTCATGGCAATAGCTTCTGTTGACTGGGCCCTGGCGATGGACCAGGTGTTATACACAGCGGCTCTGCATTCCAAAGTGGAACTGCATCACCCGATGCAGTTGGGAGCTTGTTGGAAAGGCAGATTCCCGGGCTCCCCCAGCCCGAAGAATCAGAACCTGCGTTTTATCAAGCTCCTCGGGTGATTCCTGGGCACATTAAAGTCTGCAAAGTGTGCACTTATAATCCTCTTAATCACGGAAGGAAGGAAGGAAGGAAGGAAGGAAGGAAGGAAGGAAGGAAGGAAGGAAGGAGGAAGTCGCAGCCTATTTCCGAGGTGAAGAAATAGGTTCAACAAACCACAACCTGGCTATTATGATTTTAGAGCTGCTGTGTGGTAGGGCTGATCCAAACCTGTGTTCGTGTGATTCTGAAATCGGTGTTCCTTCCCTCTGCGACTTTGGGGAAGTGAAATGGGAAGGTGATGGGATGGGCAGGCCTGGCTTAGTGGGCGTGGCCAGGGGAAGAGCAATGGGTCAGGGGTGGGCTGAGGACTTTAGGCCCTGGAGAGAGGGGAGGGGGCTGCCGGGTGAAGGCTCAGAGAGGGAGGCAGGAGATACTGGAGGCTGGGGTCCCCTCCTCCTCACTGTTGTCAAAGGCCAGCAAAATTTCCCAAAGTTCATTCACACTTCTGCACTGAATCCCAGTAATTCATTTATTTTGACTCTACGGAGTTTATCTATATTTGCCCTCTGCCCTTAGAACTAACCATCCAGCAGAAGGTACCACAGGAGGCAAGCTAACTTCTGTGTCCCAGCACTGATTTGCAGGGAGGACAATACTCTGTAAAGCCTTTTTCAGTTTAGAAAGAACTTTTCATCCACTAGCTAATCTGCCCCTTAAAAGAACTTGGGGAGTGTCACTAGAGCTATTTTGCGGTTGAGAAAACTGAGGCACAGAGAGGTTCAGTGGTTTTCCTGAGGTCACACAGCATTCAGGCAGGCTGGGGTTGAGGTCCTCTGACTCCAAGTCCAGAGGTGTGAGCTCAGCTGCTTCTGATGGGGAAAGCAATCACATCACAGGTTTATGACGCCCTTGCTAGTGTCACTGGACTCCATATAGTCTGGGTTTACCCTCTGCTCACAGAATGGGTTTACTGAAAGGCTAGTGGACCAAGAGGAAAACAGTCCACAACCCACACAGGGTGTGCGATCTAAACTGGCCAGGGGGCACTCTTGGTTTATCAGTTAGTCATGTATTCCATTATGTAATGTTCTACTGCCCTTGCTTCCATAAGATTAGCACATATAAAGTATAACAGGGAAGGTGTCAATAAAATGTGGAGGTCACCTCGCTTCATAGGGTTCCCAGCACATTAATATTTTGCATCATCAAGTGAGGGCGGCTGGATGCAGGGTACACACAGCTGAGCAGAGTAAGCCACGGGGGACCCCTCCATCCCTCCCAGCTCTTCCTCTGGGCTCTGAGTGGCCATGTGCTCTGTCTTAGAGGCTCCTCTTGCTCATTTCTCCCTGGTCTTTGTGCAAAGGCTGTGGGCTAGAGAGACCATCTGTCCCTGCTACACTCTGGCAGAGCCTGATGCTGCTCTTGCTCCTGGAACTTCCGATAAAGATGATCCATCCCCTTCTATCTCTAAACTCATCACCTTCAGCCCTTCTCTAGCCCCTTCCATCAAGTTCCCCCCTTCTAAAATAATAAATATATTGTCCTCTAGTTACTCAGGTCTTAAAGTTATTGTTGTATTTTTTTTAATTCAAAATTGATTGCACCCTTTGAATTAGGCTGGTGTCATCGCTTGGACTGTGCGTCCTTCCAGTCACATGGATTGTGAATATGGCCCAATGGATGCAGCCCAATTGTCCCCAAAGTGCTGTGATTTTCAAATTTTTCAGAATGCAGAGCTTTATGGGAACGCATATATAATTTTATAGCAGAAATGCCTGCATAATGGAAGTTATATTATAGGTAATAATATCTACATATAGCAAATCTAGAATACAGATAGTTATCAAATACTAAAACATGTTCCTATTATTAAACATTGAATATATTAAATATCTGATGAACAACCATTTATTGAGTACTCGTATATATCGGCTTCTGTGCTAAGCACCAGAGAGACATAAATAAATGAGACCCAGTCCCTACCCTTAGGAAACTCACAGTATAAAAAAGGAGAAAGATACGTAATAGACAACGTGAGAAAGGACAACGTATATAGAAATGGTACAGGTGGGAGCAGTTAGTAGACGCCTCATTTGTCTCAGGATAATGACCATGGTCCTCACCCTAGCGCCTCCGCGCCTGTGAGCTCTGGCCCCTGCTCGTCGTCCCCACCTCACCTTGCCCTGCTGTGTTCTGGGCTTGCAGATGAATAAGCTTTTTGAAGCCACTGTGCTCCCTGCAGCCACATGGCTACCTTGGTCCCTCCCTCTTCAATGCTCTGTCCTCCCCTTCCCTGAATCAAGCCCTGAGTTACCCCGTAGGACTGAGGGAAGCAACGCATAGGAAGTGCTTAGAATCGTGGAAGCAGGTATGTTAGCTACTATTCTTCTTGGTGATACTTCTTATTACCCTCAGTTGACTGGGTGCTTCTTCTCAAGCACGGAGGCGTGGAGTGACGGGGCTGGGGCTGCCCTGTGAATTATTCTTGGAGCTGGGGAGTCTCAGTGAATCGGTTATCCTTTCCCTGTTTATCCTTGAACTCAGCACTGCAGCATCACCCAGCAGACACGTGAGCCTTCCTAACCAGACTGGGGGACAAGCACTGGTCTCGGAGACAGGACACCCGAGTCTGCTCCTGGTTCTCTCACACCCTTATTCTGTGCCCTCATGCCGAGCACTTCCCTTCCGGGGGACCTGGGTTTCCTCTTCAGCCAAGTGGGGTTTAAATAGAACCTGCCTCCCGGGGGTGCATGGGGGATCTGATGTGGTCCCTCTTGCACATGGAAAATGGCAGCTCTCAGTCTGAGCGCTATGAACAGATGATGCACGGGGCTTCCTGTCGTCCTTCAGGCTCTTGGTGTGCACACACTTCCAGTCTTCCTGGCTCACAACTCCTTTTCACCAGAAAGTGCTCACATGGAGCAAAATCCCAACGAGGGAAAATCTGCCTGTCTGATTTTCCCTACTGGTCCCTCATATTCCTTTTTGGCCTAGTTTAAACCTACCGTATTGCTAGACAGTGACTGGGGGAAAAGAGGAGTGGTATTTTAAATGCTGGTAGAAGAAAAACACCCTTCCCTAGGGTCACTCCCTCTCTCGTAGTTTATTCCAGTCCATTTTTTCACTCTGCAATCATTTAGCAGATGAGTAAGAAACTCCGGGCCTAATAAACAGGTCATGGTGTCCCGAGGCGGTGGCCTCCTACCCCGGAGAGGGTGAGGAACCCGTGGAGGACAGGGCTGGGGAGCCATGGGCCAGGGCAGCCTGGACACAAGAGAGGAAGGTCAAGTTCAAAGGAGGTGGAAAGCTACAAGCCACTTCTGTGCAGCCATCGCTCTGCAAGTCAGATGTACTGTCCTATGTGCCTGCCTTTGCTCTGGAAGATGTTTTACTTTGGACACCGATGACAGCCTTTAATTCATAAGAGCCACCAGTGAATGACTAGCACAATGGCCACTACTCCCTGAAGGCCTGCTCTGTGCCAGGCGCCAAGCTGGGCCCTCCCCAGGTCTTACTGTTCTTTCCCACAGCAACTCTGAGGGCGCACATCAATCTTAGAGTGATCGAATTCATTGCCCCGAGTCACAGGAGTAGAATATCCAGCACTGGAGTTTGCACTCAGGCCCGACTGAACATAGTCTTTCCATTTCCCCATCACGTGGCCTCTTAAACTTAGACTCCATGACAAGAGCTGCTGGCAAACTGGGCCATCTCTTTCACCAACCCCAACCTACTCTTCCACGAAGAACCCCCAGGAGTAGAGAGGAGGCTGAGTTTATAACCTCCCCGAGGTGTGTGGGTGCAGCTCGACGCCTTGAACATTCATGAGGATGCTGAATTCTACTTTAGAATTGATCTCTATTTGTTTCCAAATATTTTCCCCTTGAAACTGTGAGGACCAATTGACACGCCAAGAAGATGTACCCAGCACTGGGCAGGACAGGGTCTATTTAGCTCATTGCTGTCTCTTCATTCCCCCAACAGCTCTTTATGGGGCACTGATTACAGGCCAGCGCTGGGGAGAT